GGGGAGAGCGTAGCTCAAGTGGTATAGAGCACATGCCTAGCATGCACAAGGTCCCAGGTTCAATCCCTAGTACCTCCTACTAAAAATGAAATAAATAAACCTTCAATCCCACTCCTGCGCATATATCTGGAGAAAAATATAATTCAAAAAGACACATGCACCCCAGTGTTCACAGCAGCGCTATTTACAATAGCCAAGACATGGAAACAACCCAAATGTCCATCAACAGATGACTGGATAAAGAAGATGTGGTGTATACATATTGGAATACTACTCAGCCATAAAAATGCCTTTTGCAGCAACATGGATGGACCTGGAGATCATCATTCTAAGTGAAGTAAGCCAGAAAGAGACAGAAAAGTGCCATATGATATTGCTTATATGTGAAATCTATAAAAAAGGACACAAATGAACTTATCTATAACACAGAAACAGATTCACAGGCATAGAGAACAAACTTATGGTTACCAGTGGGTAAAAGAGGTGGGAAGAGATAAATTGGGAATTTGAAAGTTGCACTTCTTGGACTGATGGATATGTTAGCTGTCTTGATTGTGGTAGTGGTTTCATTGGTGCATATATCTAGTAAAATTCGTCAAGTTGTAACATTTGAAATATGCATAGCTTACTGTATAGGAAATATACCACAATAAGGGTGTAAACAAACAAACAAACCTAATTACCTCCTCCTCCCCCAAAAAAGGAAAAAATAAGGAAAATAATTTTTTAATTATTAAAAAATAAAATATATAAATAACAAGGTCCTGCTGTATAACACAGGGAACTATATTCAATACTTTGTAATGGACTATAGTGATAAAGAACATGAAAAGGATTATATATATATAAAATGAAAATATATATATATATAAATGAATATATATGTGTATATATATATATATAAATGAATCACTATGCTGTACACCAGAAATTAACACATTGTAAATCAACTATACTTCAATAAAAATAAATAAGTTAGGTGTTAGAGGCTATGACACCAAGCAGATATGACATGCATAATGAAGAGGGGAAAGACTGCCTCCCATGACATTTCAAGGGCTGCTCGGGTTTCTGGCAGAGCATCTGGATGGATAGGGAGACCATATGCAAGGATGGGGAACCCGGACAAGGCAGAGGGGAAATATGATGGGTGCCATTTTTTACTTTCTGAGTTTGAGGCGACCCATGAGCTCTTCAAAGAGCTGCATGTGAATGGAAACTCATATCCTTGGACTGTGTGTTTTATGCAAGTACAAGTCTGTGACTTAAAAACACACACATTTATATATTCAGTCCTGCAGATTTTAAAACCTCTTTTTTTTTAAACTTCTACTTCCTGCCTTTGGACTCTTTTGGGGTATATTAACCACTACAGTGAAATGACTGATGAAGGTAAGAAGTGTCACCATCGATTACTGGACGTGGACAGAACTCTAGAGATGATCTGGCCCAGTTTTCTTATCACAGACCAGGAAGCTGAGCTTTGCAGTGGTCCAGTGACTTGTTCCACATCCACAGCAGGAGAACAAGACTTAGAACTCTGGTCCTCTGATTCCCACTGGGGTGTCTTCCTACATCACAGTGTTTCTGCTGCTTTTGAATATCCTGGCCAAAGATTTGGTGGAAAGAAACTGAAATTGTGGATGTGTTTTATTCTTGAAGAGGTGGCTAAGAGATAGTGGAGTCGCATAATCCTTGGGAAACCTAGCCTTGGTTTCTTCACCTGTAAATGTGGTAATAATCCTGCCTCACTGGTGAGGTGTCCCTGAGTTGTGAAGGTGCCGGTGGCAGGGACTAGGTATTCCTTCATCTGAACCCAGGTCCTAGGATATGACAAAAAGAGCCATGGTCTTGGAATCAGAAAAGCTAGTTCAAGTTCTAGTCTACACACTTACTAGCCATATGGAATGGTTTCCTGTGGCAGCTATAACAAATAAGACTTGGTGGTTTAACGCCATAAAAATGTATTCTCTCATGGTTCTGGAGGCCAGAATTCCAAAATCAAGGGGTCAGCCAGGCCACGCTCCCTCTGAAGTCTCTTGGGGAGAAACCTTCCTTGCCTTTTCCAGGTTTTGGTGGCTCCCGGCATTCCTTGCTTTGTGGCCACATAAACTCCAGACTGCCTCCATCTTTTTTGTTTCTTTGTTTTGATGGTGGTACTGGGGATTGAATCCAGGACCTCCTGCAGGCAGGCATGAAGCTCTACCACTGAGCTCTACCCACCCAATCATCCTACCTCCACCTCCGTCTTCACTGAGTTTCTCTATCTGTGTCTTCTCCTCTTCTGTTTATCATTTGGGCACTTGTCATTGAATTTAGGACCCACCTAGGTAATCCAAGATAATCTCATCTCAAGATCATTAACTTAATTACATCTGAAAAGATCCTTTTTCCCAAATAAGGGCACATTCTCAGGAGCCTACCATTAGGTCATGGACAAACCTTTTTGGGGGTCACCGCTTAACTCACTGTACCATGTGACCTTGGCCAGATCACTAAAAGTGAGTGGCCTAGGGGATTTCAGTACCTACTCTTACCCACCTGAGGGCTATCATGAGGATAGAAGAAATGGTGTACATGAAGGCAACTTGTAGAAGTACGTGAATATTACTCCCAGTGACTTATGCAGATTATTTCAATAACAGACTGATCTGGTCTCCCTGCTCTACACGTTCCTGTCCCAGCCTTCCTCTGTCAACAGAGCAGGAGGGCATGTCTGCCCATCTCACAAATGCCTTTGGAGGCTCCAGCTTCAGAAAGGGCTATGCGCTTGCCCCCAGAAAGGGGGTATGGGTACCCTAGAGGGCCCAGCGCCTCTTGTGATAACCCTTTTGTTCTACTTTGCTTCCTTCATAATCTTTATCAGGATACGTTGGAGCTGGAGGCTGGGCATGGCCAGGACCTGCAGAATGAACAAGATGAGCAGGAAAGAGATTGCACTCAACATGAAGAGCCCCAAGTGCCCACATCTGTGCCATTTTCAGATGAGAGCATCCCTGAACTGTAAGCCTTGGCTCATGCAAGACAGAACATTTAATAATGTTTTGGGGCGGGAAAAATGAAACTTAGCACAGAACTTAGGGAAAGCCGAGAAGATTTAAAATCCAAACATGTCTTGAACCATAAAGCGCTCATGTGCACACTTAACTACCTACATGTTCCAGCCAGAATGCAGAACAAGGACATTTCTAGGCATACAGTCAGAGCCACGGGTTCTCTTTGCAAACTTTTCTTTGGAGCCTGGAATTAACACATACCTCATCACTCTCAGATAATTTTCTAGAGCTGAAAATTATTATTATTATTATTATTAAAAATGTATTATTAAATCCTTATGGACTCTTTCCCTGTTATATGGCTCTTCTCCCCCACCAAGATGCAACCACTATCCTGAAATCAATACTTAACATTCATTCTATACGGGGAAAGATAAAAATATATCTATATTTTTGACGGACTATAAAATACACCTTGTTCTCTCTAGCCTTGTAAGGGTTTGTTAACATGGATATTAAATAAATGTCCAAACTTCTTTCTTGTGGCCTAAGTGCCTGCCTGGTCCAGGTGACAGAAAATGAATAAGCAGACTGATTTGTCACCCAAAGAAAGAGACTTTCAGGCTATGTGAGCTGTTTCCCATTTTCTATCTTCATACTGATCATAATGATATTTCTGTAGGAGTCAGAAGAGCGTGTTCTTCCAGCTAAACCACTGGAATACGCAGATGGGTCTACAAGGGAAAGAACTGGGAGCTGACAGCACAGACTGGATGGAGAAAATTAAAAATATTATACACAAAATAAACGTAACAGAAAACACAGTGAAGAGGTAATTGTAGGGTGCTGGGATTGGTCAGAAAGTAAGTGAAAAGTTTCATAGCTCCAGAAACTTAAGAAATTTTGTGTTTCAGGTGGTAAAGTCTTTAGGATAAGACGTACAAGGCCTTCTGATTAAAAGTCAACGTAACTAGAAAACAAACTCATGGTTATGGGGATGGGAAGGGATAAATTGGGAGTTCGAGATTTGCAAATATTAACTGCTACATATAAAATAGATCAACAACAAGTTTCTTCTGTGCAGCACAGGAAACTATATTCAATGTCTTGTAGTAACTTATGGTGAAAAAGAATATGAAAACGAATATATGTCTGTATATGTATGACTGAAACACTATGCTGTACACCAGAAACTGACACAACATTGTAAACGGACTATACTTCAATTTAAAAACAGATCAACGTCACAAAACCTCAAAGCCTACATCAAAGTTATCTGCATCTTTGCTCTCTCTTCTCTCAAGGGATGGAGTTCCCTCAGAGACTGTCTCCTTGAAGCCACGTTAATCGTTATCAAAACGATCTATTGAGGTTCCCAGTGATCCTCGAGTTTTATCCAGTGTTTTCCAAAGGGATCCAACCAGTGTGACATGAAAGAACCATTCAAGTATATTTGTTAATGCATATCTGAATTAAAGTGGAAAATTTCAAGATGAAACAGAAATGAGAGAGCTGTTATTTATCCAGTCACTAGCATAAAGAGGGGCTTTGGGGTCAGAGGGACCCCGGTTTGAATCGTGACATTGACATTTCTTGGGTAGGTTAATAAACCTTTTTTAAGCCTTGACTTTCCTCTTCTATAAAAAGGGACTAATGACAGCCACCTCATTAGTTTATTGTGGGTATGAAATAAAATACCGCATGTAAAGCATGTACAGGGCCTGGTACATAATAAACAATGAGTAAATGGAAGCTATCTTTAGAAATAAATTTATCTGGCCTTCTAAACCTTCCTACCACATTCCAAACTCTTTCCTACTGCAGGGCCTCTCTTCTAGACGTTTCTTTACCTTTCAGTTAAACGTCTTCACATTCAGTTAAACGTCTTCACATTCAGTTAAACGTCACCATATCTTTCAGCTCAACAGCTCTTTATCTTGGCCTTCTCCTGACGATTCAATTCAAGATGACCTTTCTTTTTTTGTTTTCCTTCCAGAGCATGAATACTGTTTGGATTTGAAAAGATTCCGTGTTTTTATTAAGTCAAATCCTATACATTAAAATTTCTTCCTGTTTTAAAAATTAAGGCATAATTCACATAGAGTAAAATTATGGTTTTTATTGTACAGCGCTGCTAGTTTTGGAAAATGCATACTGTTATGTAGCCATCACGGTGAAGATACAGAACACTTTCATTGCTCCCCAAATCTCTCATGCACTTTTGTAGTTAACGCCTCTCCCCAGGCCAGGCCGCTGTTCTCTGTCCCTACAGTTTTGCCGTTTCTAGAATGCCACGTAAATGGAATCACGTTGTACATAGACCTGTTTTGTTTTGTTTTTTAAAAAAATTAATTAGTTTATTTGTTGGCTGGGGGGAGGTAATTAGGTTTATTTATTTATTTATTTTTAGAGGAGGTACCAGGGATTGAACCCAGGACTTTGTGCACCCTAAGCATGCACTCCATCGCTTGAGCTATACCCTCCCCTCTGCATAGCCTTTTGAGTGTACCTTCTTTCCCTTAGTGTAATGCATTTGAGATTCATTCATGTTGCATACAGTGGTACTTTATTTCTTTTTGTAGCTGGATAGTATCCCATTATATAAATATACCACAGTTTATCTATTCACTAGTTGATGCACATTTAGGTTTTTTTTTAGCAATCATAAGTAAAGACAGTATGGGGGGAGGGTACAGCTCAGTGGTAGAGCGCATGCTTAGCATGCACGAAGTTCTGGGTTCAAATTCCAACTATCTTCATTAAAATAAGTAAGTAAATAAGTAAACCTAATTACCCTCCTAAAACAAAAACAAACAAAATAAATAAACTATTTTTTTAAAAAAACAAAGACACTATAAACACTCACATATAGGTTTTTGTGTGAACACACATTTTTTTAATTTTCTTTGGGTAAACAATCAGGAGTCAGAATGCTGGGTCATATCACAAGTGTATGTTTATATTTGTGGAAAAAAACTGCCAAGCTGTTTGAAAAT